TTGAGGTAACTGGATGTTAGCTAGTTAGGTCTTTGTAGACAGTAAGCAGTGCATTGAATTGCTCCCATCACTGAGGACAGAGCATGGATGGCTCTGTCCTTCATGGATGGAAGGCCAGATTTGCTATAAGGGAGGCAGTCACACATTATGAAGATTCAAGTGGCTTCCAACACCAGTCTGTGCTACAAATTAGAGGGAGTCTAGAATCATAGGGTGCATCCACACATGCAAGCACATGCACTTGCAGCAGCTCAAATAGAAGCGGTGCAAATTTGAACCAGGGCTTTTTGCCTCAGCGCACGTGCTCAGACATGCACTTTGTTGTGGAGCAAATTGTGCCACTTGGGGCAAAATAACCCTGCCTGGCTCCTCCCGGATCTGTAGCCAGGGGGAGCTAGAGCCCAGGGCCAGCACCTGTGCTGTCCCCAGCAGTATAAAAAACTGTCCTGTCTTGGCCCCAGCAGTACAAAAACCTGCCCTGGCCAGCAGCTCAAGGTTACTTGACCCCCAGGAGCTTCATTGTTTCATTTTAATCATGGAAAAATAAATCTATATAATAGTGGTATTTCATTTTAATCACAGAAAAATTTTGCTTTACTTTTTTAAATCCAAAAATTGGGGATTTAAAGAAATCAGAGATAACCAGGATCCCTGGTTATTAGCAATATTTTTTGTCTGGTACCTGTCACTGATAAGCAGGTTGTATCCATGTTGCAATTGCTGGTGTCAATGTACTATGCGTAACCATGCCCAAATTAGTTTTAATCTAGCTATTTCAGGTAGCAGACGGTGAATATGCTTGTGTCCCAGTGAACCCTGGGGCATAAGTAGGCTTACGTAACCTACCATGAAGACCCTACTACCAGATCTTCAATGCTATTGGTTACCAAGCTACCTAGAAACAAAAGTCCTGATGCCTAAGAAAAGGTGTTCTGGCCAGCTACTAACTCCAAAAAATATGTAGGTATCAATCAGGAATATTATTTCACTTCTTTTAAAGGAGACTCTGAGAACAGACAGCACTACAATAAGAGACAGGGGATTAGACATATTTTTGTATATCACTGAGAGTAACGTCCTATAACCTAGGCCACAGAATTTCATCCAGATTTTTCTGTATTTCATTCTATAACTTGTATTTGACTAAAGTAAATTTTCTAGAAAGACATCCACTCTTGATTTAAAGACTTCACAAGACAGAAAATGAACTATTTTGGCAGTTGTTAATCATCATCACTTTTAAAAATGTATGCTTTATTTTTTACTTGAACTTCCAGCTATTGGGCCCTGACAGGTCTTTCTCTGCTAGGTTCAAGAACTCTTTGGTACCTGGTATTCTCTCCCGGTGAGCCTATTTGTACACAGTAATAAAGCTATCTGTTGATTTTCTTTTGATTAACTAAACAAATTCATCTCTTCAGGAGCTAAAAAGGCATTTTGTCCCATCCTCAAATGATGCTTTGTGGTACTCTTCTCTATCCTTTCTACTTTGGAAAGGAGCTCTCCTCATAGTTTCATAGCTGTAGGGTCGGAAGGGACCTTGACAGATCATCAAGTCCGATGCCCTACCATGGCAGGAAAGAGTACTGGGGTCAAATGACTCCAGCAAGGTGTTCATCTAGCCTCTTCTTAAAGACCCCTAGGTACAAGCCAGCACCACTTCTCTTGGAAGTTGGTTCCAGACCCTAGCCGCCCTGACAGTGAAGTAGCACCTCCTGATAGCTAGTCTAAATCTACCCTCTGCCAGCTTGTGACCATTATTTCTTGTCACTCTTGGGAGTGCTCGGGGGAACAGGGACTCTCCCAATGCCTGCTGGTCCCCTCTGACTAGTTTGTAAATGGCCACTAGGTCCCCCCTCAGCCTTCTCTTGTGGAGGCTGAACAGGTTCAGGTCCCTTAGCCTCTCCTTGCAGGGCCTGCCCTGCTGCCCCCTGATCATGCGAGTGGCCCTCCTCTGGACCCTCTCCATGTTGTCCAGATCCCTCCTGAAGTGCGGCACCCAGAACTGGATGCAGTACTCCAACTGTGGCTTGACCAGTGTTGCATAGAGGGGGAGGATCACTTCCTTGGACCTGCTTGAGATGCATCTGTGGATGCATAACAAGGTACAGTTGGCCTTCCTGACTGCATCCCCACACTATCGGCCCATGTTCATTTTGGCATCAATAATGACTCCAAGATCCTTTTCTGCCTCTGCACTGACAAGAAGGGAGTTCCCCAGCCTGTAGGTATGCTGCTGGTTCTTTGTCCCCAGGTGCAGTACCTTGCACTTGTCACTGTTGAAACCCATCCTGTTCTCATCCTCACACCCCTGTAACCTGTCTAGGTCTGATTGCAGCCTATTCCTCCCTTCTAGCATGCCCACTTCCCCCCACATCTTAGTGTCATCTGCAAATTTGAACAGGGTGCTTTTTACCCCCTCATCCAAGTCGCTGATGAAGATGTTGAACAGTGCGGGCCCAAGGACCGAGCCCTGCAGAACCCCCCTGCCCACATCCCTCCAAGTCAAAAATGACCCATCCACCACCACTCTCTGGGTGTGGCCCTCCAGCCAGTTAGTGACCCATTTGACTATGTAGGTGTCGACACCACAGTCCCCTAGTTTTTTTAATGAGAATGGGGTGAGAGACAGTGTCGAAGGCCTTCCTAAAGTCCAGAAAGACTACGTCCACTGCTACCCCTGCGTCTAAGGATTTTGTG